CCATTATCATTAATCTGTTTTCCTATTTGCTGTCTCACTTCCTGAGACAGAAAATAATCCGGATCTTTGCAATTAACATTTTTATTTACAGACAGGAGTCGAGGCAAAAGGCAGCTTCGCCAGTGATCAGCAAGTAACGATGGGTGAGTATTAATCTTTATCAGAGAAACAGCAAACATTACATACAATGTTTACTAGGCAGAATTTTATTGCATAATATATACAGTATACAGCTATATACAATATATTATACACACAGTATGGAGCTATATACAATATATTATACACAATATGGAGCTATATACAATATATTATACACACAATATGGAGCTATATACAATATATTATACACACAATATAGAGCTATATACAATATATTATACACAATATGGAGCTATATACAATATATTATACACAATATAGAGCTATATACAATATATTATACACACAGTATGGAGCTATATACAATATATTATACACACAGTATGGAGCTATATACAATATATTATACACTCAGTATCCAGCTATATACAATATATTATACACACAGTATGGAGCTATATACAATATATTATACACACAGTATGGAGCAATATACAATATATTATACACAATATAGAGCTATATACAATATATTATACACACAATATGGAGCAATATACAATATATTATACACACAGTATCCAGCTATATACAATATATTATACACACAATATGGAGCTATATACAATATAATATACACACAGTATGGAGCTATATACAATATATTATACACACAGTATGGAGCAATATACAATATATTATACACACAGTATCCAGCTATATACAATATATTATACACACAATATAGAGCTATATACAATATATTATACACACAATATGGAGCAATATACAATATATTATACACACAATATCCAGCTATGTACAATATATTATACACACAGTATGGAGCTATATACAATATATTAAACACTCAATACGGAGTTATATACAATATATTATACACACAATATAGAGCTATATACAATATATTAAACACTCAATACGGAGCTATATACAATATATTATACACACAATATAGAGCTATATACAATATATTATACACACAGTATGGAGCTATATACAATATATTATACACACAGTATGGAGCTATATACAATATATTATACACACAGTATGGAGCTATATACAATATATTATACACACAATATGGAGCTATATACAATATATTATACACACAGTATGGAGCTATATACAATATATTATACACACAGTATGGAGCTATATACAATATATTATACACACAGTATGGAGCTAAATACAATATATTATACACAATATAGAGCTATATACAATATATTATACACACAGTATGGAGCTATATACAATATATTATACACACAATATGGAGCTATATACAATATATTATACACACAATATAGAGCTATATACAATATATTATACACACAGTATAGAGCTATATACAATATATTATACACACAATATAGAGCTATATACAATATATTATACACACAGTATTGAGCTATATACAATATATTATACACTCAGTATGGAGCTATATACAATATATTATACACAATATAGAGCTATATACAATATATTATACACACAGTATGGACCTATATACAATATATTATACACACAGTATGGAGCTATATACAATATATTATACACACAGTGTGGAGCTATATACAATATATTATACACACAGTATGGAGCTATATACAATATATTATGCACACAATATGGAGCTATATACAATATATTATACACACAGTATGGAGCTATATACACACAGTATGGAGCTATATACAATATATTAT